TATTTTTAAAAAAAATCATCTGAAAAAAATTAAAATAAAAATTAAAAAAAATTTTATTCATGTAATTAAAATTATATTTGACAGTTTAGTATTTTTATTTAAAAATAAAAAAAAGCCACATTTTTTAAAAGAATTATAGAAAAAAAATTATAAAAAAATGTTTGGAAAAAATTTTTTTTTCTACCTGAATTTTAAGAAAAAATATTTTTCTGATTTTTAAATAATTTAATGATTTTTTTATTTTTAAAAACAAAAAAAATTAAATATTTATTTTTTTTATGGTTTTATTTAAATTTTTATCAGATAAGTTTATTAAATTATTTTTTAATAAAAATAAAAATTCATTTTTTAAAATAGAAATTGAAAATTTATTTTATTTTTATTTATCAAAAATAAACTATTAAAAAATTTTATATAAATAAAAAAAATGTTTTTCAAAATATAATTACAAAAAAAAAAAATGAAAATTTTTTTAACTTGCTTAATATTTAAACAAAATTTTTTTTAATTATAAAATAATTTATGAAGATTTATAAAAAATGATGATTAATTCAATATTTTAATTTTGATGAGATACTCATTTAAACCATTTGCATTTTTTTTATTTGAAAATTTGTTTTTTATGTTTATATTTTTATTTAAAAAATGTTTCAAAATTAAAATAAAATAATTTTTTAAAAATGCAAAAAGTTTGATAAATAATTTATTTTTTGACTTTAGAAAAAAAAAAATTGTTTTAAGAATTTAAAATGTTTATTAAAAAATGATAGAAATCAATTGAAAATGAATGGTTTTGAATTAACATTTTAAACAAAAAATTGTTAATCAAAATAAAATTTAAAATTAAATTTATTTCAGTTTTTCAAATTATTGGAGTTAAAAAAAGTTAAATATAAAATGAAAACAATTTGAAAACAATCAGAATGAGTAAAATTGAAAAAATTTCATTGATTTTGAAAAATTTTTTATAACTCAAAAAAATTTTCAAGAAAAATAAAAAACAAACAAAGAAAAATTCTTTTTGAAAATTTATGGGAAAACAAAAAAAAAAATATAATTCAATTGATATTTTAAATTTTTTATATAAATAAAAAAAAAATTTGAAATTTATTAAATATTTTTTTAAATTTTGAAAAAAAATTTTATCCAGAATATTTTTTAAAAATTTTAATGAAAAGATTTCAAATTTTTTATTTTTAACAAAAAAATTAAATAATTTATAAATTTATATTTTAAAAAAAAATTATTATTTTAAAATCTTTTTAAATGAATAGAATGTTTTTTTAGTTTTTAAAAAAAAAAGAAAAATTATTTAAAATGATAAAAAAATTTTTTAATTTTTAGACAAAACAAAATTTATCTTTATAAAAAATGAAGAAAAAGATATTTACAAACTTTAATTTTTTTATTAAAAGGAAATTGCAATACAGAAAACTTGTTTAAACTAAAATATTAATAAAAGAAAAAAAGATAAAATTTTTTTAAAAAATTTGTTTAATAAAATGTCCATTAACAAAATGAAAATAATCATAAAAATATTCACTATTTTGAAAAGACAGTTTTATTTCATGAAAAAAAAAAAGATTTTTTTTAGTTTGAAAAAATTTTTTAATTTTTTTAATTTTTTTTTTTCAGGATCAATTTTATATTATTAAAAAAAAACATTTTGAAAAATATTTAAAAAAAAAATTTCATTAAAAAAAAATTCAAAATCTGAAAAAATGGAAATCAAGAATTGAAAAAAATGAATAGAAAAATTTTTCAAATAGTTTGGAAAAAAAATCTTTTTAAAAATAAGAAAAAAATTATTTAAAAAAAATTTGGAATAAATCAAATAAAAAAAAAAAAAAAATCAATAAATTTTCCCTAAAAAAAAATCAGAAATTAAAATATATGTTAATTAAACTAAATTTAAATTAATACATTTTTGTCATTGAAACAAAATTTTTTTAAATTGGGACCTTTAAAATTTCAAAAAAGAATTTTCCGTGGACATTTTGTTAAAAAAAAAAAAAAAAAAAAACAAAAAAAAGATCATTTAATTAAAAAATTTGTAAATAAATTAACCTTAAATTAAAAAAAAATAAAAATATATACTTGGAAAAATGATATAAAAATTTTAATAAATATTTTTCTTTAAAATGATTGAAGAAAAAAACGGTTTATAAAATTTTGAATTGTATTTTAAAATTAAATAATAATTAAAATTAAAGAACCTTAAAAAAATTTTTAATTAAAAAAAAATTCCTTTTTAGATGGTCACTTTCTAAAAGGAAAATACAAATTTTTAAAAAAGGTGCTTTGAAAGAAAATTTTCAAAAAACAAAAAAAAACAAAACCTATTATAAATAAAATAGGTCCCAAAAAGAATCTGAAAAAAAGAAAAAAAATTGAAAAAATTAATAAAAAAATTGGTCTTAAAAAAAATTGAAAAAAAAAAAAATAGAAAAAAAAAAAAACACAAATTTTTTTAAAATTTTTATGTTTAAATAGCAGTAGTTTTTTAAAAAAATTTTTATTTTTAAAAACCAATTAAAATTAAATAAAAATATCACTTGACTTAAAAATATTTTGCCCTTCCTTGCCTTTAAAGGAGTGCCCTTTGCCGTGCTGATGTTGCTACATGCCTTACTTCTTGCCTATCTCACACTGCGAATTTTTTCTAAGCTCTATACTAAACATTAAATCTGTTACGAAAAAGAACTAAACAAAATGAACACAAAACGATCAGCTTTAAAAAAGGACTCGTAACTGGAAAAACCGAATGAAAAAAGAATGTTAACAACAAATACTTTTTCACACCCAACCCAGTTCTGCGGAATCAGAATCAACGTTGAGTTTAAGCAAGCGAATGAGCCAATTGGAGTAAAGTGCCATGCAGATTTAAATTTTCCCACTTGTGACGAATGCAGCTATCGATTTTTTTTTGCATGCTAGTTAACATTCGTGTCAGTCAGCTGTTGGCTCTCACGCTGGCCAATAGAATCTTCCTGCCTATTCGTGGCAGCCAGCTATTGGCTCTCACTCTGGCCAGTAGAAAATGATCATAAACTACATGCAAAAACTGCCGTAGAAGCATGAAAAAATCGATTATTTCCACTATCGATGGGATGTTGGGAATGTAAAAGTCGGTCTTGGCCTTCCCACTAACTTGAGCATGCATATAAATTTTGATTGCAAACCGTCGAAAATTGCGGCCGAAATTATATCACACACACACAGGCTATCTATATACACAAATCATCCTATACTTTATATACACATAATTTTTGTCTCAGTTCACACACATCCATTTCTTTTATTTATAGAAGATTTACCCAAAGTCCAAATTGTCCTAAATTTTTGTTTTTTAACTTTTTTTTAATTTGTCTTTATGAATATTTGAAATAAATATTCAAAGCCAAATGATAAATATTTACAAAATTGATAAGAAACAAGACCTTTCATATAGAAAATTATTTACTGTTCAAAAAAAGTGGGTTTGGGAATCGAAAATAAGTTTTGAAATTTCGCAAACTGGTTTAATATTTTAAGGTTTCATTATATTTGCAGTAATTTTAAATTTTTTGGATATTTTATTATATATGAAAAAAAATAAGATTATGCTTCATTTTGTTCTTGTAAAAATTTGTTTCTAGCCACTGATTACAGACAGCATTTTTTATTTTTTAAAGGAAAAATTCCACACAGATTATCCAAACAGATTATTTAATGGTTGATATATAATCTTTATTTTTCCATTTATATATCTATTCCGAAATCAGAAAATCCAATGCTAACATCTAAACGATGTGTTTATTATTTTTTCTAAAAATTATTATTTGAAAGCGATTTTAATACATTTTAAAATATATGAGGATTTAGAAAAAAAATTAATTCATCGGCCTGCCATTGGAATCGACAACCATGAAAAGACAAACTCGAAAATTTTGGCTTGTTTGACTGCAGCCACAGAATCATCAAAGAAATTGGAAAAAAAAAATCCATAGAAAAAAAGAAACCGCATAATTTTATTTATTTTATTTTTTTACATTTGGCTAAATTTTATATTATTTAACCTTTAGAAAATACAAGATTTTTTTGGAAAATGTTGAGTCATCCACATTGGTATCTAATTAATGGATGGCTATCTAGAATGATCTATGGCTCTTTCTCATAATTTTTGTTATACATTCAAAAAAAACTGGATCACATGAAGGCTAATGAAATTTCAAACAAAAACTAAGTTATTACATTATAAAATTCGAGGAAAACCATGACGTTACTTTTCCCCTCGATGAAACCGTTTATTTGATTCCTTACATTTGGCAAAATTTTCAGGAATGATTGCCGAATTTTGATTTTGGAAAAAGGCAATATGACCATAGAAAAAAACATTGGTCTTGAAAAGCAAACATTATTTTTTTTCATCATGTCTCCTGTAACACTTTGGATAAACTTCTGCAATTTTTTTTTTCATGGCTAAAGTCATTTGCTAAATTGTTTAAAAAAAAAAGAAAAGTGATTTTATTTTTCGGGGTTCATTTTTGTGATTTACGCCTTGCATTCAATGACGGTTTTTTCAGAAACATGGTTTTTATTGATCGACAACGCTTAACGATTGTAAAATAAGAATTAAAGACAAAATTCCATAGATTGATGTACCTTTATCATAGCCAGACACGCAGCCTGAAATTCTGTTAGATTTCTTTTTCTAATACTGAATGCATCATTTAAACCCCAAATGATTTAGATGGTTTTAATGCATGTTACAATGTTCTTCAATTATATTCATTTTTTTCAGATTGGTCGCATCTACGTCGTTTTGATTTGCAAAAGGATGAGACCACGTAAATGTATAAAAGACATCCAGAAAAAAAAAAAATAGACAACAAGTTAATGTTGAGAGAGTTTATGCAGGGATTTAAGGATTGATTTTACAGTTTGTGCTTTGTTGGGAATTTGTCGCAAGCATGCGTATAAATATGATTACTATATTTGGAAAGAGAAATTTTCGGCGTATGAGACCAGGCAAGCAAATAACTGTCAAACCATTGTTAAATTCTGTCGCCGCGTTGGGATGGTCTGTAAGGAAAAAAAATTAATAAAATAAAGGATAAGAATAAGCTTTATTGTAGCAATTGTTTTAAATGGAGGTTTACCAATTTTGAAAAACGCAGAGACAGGAAAACAGGAATTACAGAACGATTTTAATGTAAAACAAAAAAAAATTAAACAAAAACATAAGCCGTGAAGATTTTTGGAACAATACCAAAAAAAATCAACCATTGAATATTTTTGTCATCGTTTCCAGTATATTTTGGTTTTAAGGTTTTTAAACCGAATTTTAATTTTTTTGTCTATGCACGCAATACACAACCCCTTTTTGAACGCATATAAGTATTTAACGTTATTAGAAATTAGATATTGTTATTTTAAAAATATATATATTCATATATTTATAGTTTAATATATGCGTTTATATATATATATATATATATTTATGTGTTAAAATATATAAAATATTAAATGAAAAAAATGCTCATATATTTATGTATATATAAAAGAAATATATATAACGATAGAAAATATTCGTCCTTGTTAGGGGAACCTGCATCCTTTACGGAACATCGTTTTTTCAACGATGATCAAGGCATTGAATTAAGGAAAATTTTTCATGACTTTTAAGGCCTTTAAATGTTAATACTGTTTATTATAAACATTTGCATTTACTTAAATACTTGTATCTATAAAAAGAACGTTAAACATAAAAAATGTCTTCAATAAATAAATTGTCGGACTATGTCCTGGAGTTAATATATGAAATATATATATATATACACACATATACATATATATATATATATATATATATATAAATACATATATATATATATATATATATATATATATATATATATATATATATATATTACGTTATCATTTTTTTAATATGTACTGATGAGAAATCTAAAATTGATTAATTTTTTGGTGCTTTTGTTTTGGGGCCGTAAATTGATGAATACATTGGACAGAGCGAAATTCAGGAATCTAGATGAGAAAGATGTCCTGACAGACACTATGATGATGCTTTTAGTAGCTGCATTCATTAAACCTTGTGTTTGTGTATACTCTCACACACACGCACACATGATATTTACATCATATGTTTAAATTTAATATTTATGGTGGTATGTTGTAACTTAATGGCTGAACTTTCACAAATGGATTAAGAGGGGGATTAAATTTATTTATATGCTAAAAAAATGTCATATACATATACATAGAAGTTATATTTCCAATTTTTTGATATTCTTCTTTAAAGAATAACCTTTTTGTATTAAGCTATTACAAAAAATGAAGTTAAAACTATTGTCAAAATAAGTAAGAAAATTCAATATCAGAAAAAAAAACTAATGTTTGTTACTTATTATTACTTGTTACTTAGTTTTTTCTTAAAACTTATTTGAAATTTTTTTTTTTCACTAGGTTAGAAGACAATAGTATATAAATGTTGTATATTTGCATATGAAATCCTTATGTATTAAACTATTTGCAAAAATTGTTTCATAATGCTTTGTAATGGTTTGACAAGAGATTTTGGAATTTATATTATTTCAATAAAATTTTTAATGAATATTGATGATATGAATGTAAAGCTATTTAAATACTGATCAGAATGATCAAGAAAACTGTTATGATATTACAGATATATGCTTATATTTTATGTTGGATATAATTAATGAATGTCCTGGTATAATGCCAATTTTAAAGTGAGTTTTTCTATTTTGTTACTTGCTTTCAAATTATAAATGTTTTGAATTTTCAAAATTTTCTTAACCAGATATTAGAATCCTAAATATTTGCTCATCATGTTCCAGTAAAATATAAAGATATTATTTCTAATAAGTTTTAGTTTAAAGTTGATGAAATTGTTTTTAAGAACTGAAGTCTTTATTAAAATATTTAAATTTTACAATATTTTTCTTTTTTAGCAAGTTACCTATATATGATGTAGCTGTCAACACATGTAACACTATTAACTAGAACTAGGTTATGGGCATTCGGAGAAAATCCTAATATTTAGTATTTACATTTTGTATTCCATTTATATAAATTAATGTTTCCCTGCCACACCAGTCAAGAATACATTTGTATATCACACAAATTTTGCCGATGATTTTACAATTTTGTGCAGCAGTTAATAGAACAAGTACATTTTTAGAACTTGTCAAATGAGATGGGGATGATCAATTTTAAGCAATTATAAAGCATAATGAATTATTACAATAAATTGAGTTTACATTTTTAGCCTTGTGATGGCATAGCTGAAGCAGTTTTGTTGTGTAGGTCAATTTATGGATACATTAGTAAATTAAAATATTTTTCAGTGTAGAAGCTTCTATATACATTGGTATAAATTTTAAAATATTTTAATTTAAAACTAACATTCCTGTTAAAATATTTTATCAGTTGAAATAGAGTATTTCTTGGATGTTTATAAAATGTGTGAGTTTTCGAATTTCAATATTTACAAGAAAGTCAACTACCACAACCCATTTATTAGGGAGAAATTTAAAGAAAAATGGACACATTGATGACAGATCAACATTGTCATTTAGATCTCATAATTTATCAGCCATATTACCTAAATTGGAAAATAATTGGTATATTTTTTAAACTTTTTATTGCTATGAGGGAGTGGGATTTTAATTAATTACTAACTTGGAATTTTTCTTTTTTGCTAGTATTTTTCTCATATTTTGATTATTTAGCACAATACTACATTTTTTTCTTGATGACATAAAGGTACTTGATTTCATATTTTGTATTTTTAGATGATTATACTTTCTTTTTTTAAGTTTAAGTGCATATTATATGATTTGAAATACCATGTGTTTTTATTGCTATAATTAAAATTTAATATCAGAGTTAATTTTTTTTAAACATTTGAATTAAGATCAAAAATAAAATGTTTGGAAATCTCTCCTAATTTTTTTTTCTATTATTTTTTTTTCTATCAATTGTTGGACTCTGATTTTCTTTTTGTCTGTGATTCATCTTTACAGGTTTTGTCTGTAGAACAAGAGCGTTGTCGCCGTCGAGTAACTTATCAGTGTTCTCCTACTTATGAAGATGGAGTTGCAGAAACCCACGAGAAAAGAACAAGATTCTCTTTTCCACAAGATCAGGAATCAATAGGTAAGCTCAACAGTTTGTTTTCTGAACAAAAAAATAGAAAATCAGTATCCATCTATTTTGATTTCTTATAATTAAAAATAAAAAAAAAAAAACTTGTGCAAGCTTCAGTACTGATGAGTATGAAAGTGCTTTGCTGACCTGTGTCATCTAGGTCACCAAAACTCACACTGACAGAAAAGGAATGAGATGTCAACTTTGGACTCCTGATACCTTTTGTGGTTGTCTTTGGTTGTTGGCTTTACCCAGCCAAAATTACCAAGGGCCAGAAAAATGACCATGGTAGCTTCTATAAGCCTTTATCCTGAAGTGAAATTGATGGCGGTTGTTATAGTGTTTAAGTGGCTCTAGAATTATTGATTAAAGCTGCCTGGATCTTTTCTGATTGGTCAAAAAATATTTTTATGGCTTTTTGATATTTGTTTTTCTTGTTTCAAAAATGAATGTGCAGAATCAGTCTACAATTAAACCAATTTGTATCATTTGAATGTTGTCTTCATTGAATTGTTGGAGTTTCAACAAGAGGAAAATGATGAAAATCCAAAGATGTTTTTCAAACGTTTCTTTCAGTTAAAATTGAGACAAATTCTTGGTTTTGAAATTAAATGGGGAAAAGAATATTCGTTAATTTCACAAAGATACTGTGAATACTTTAATGTCCTCTAAACAAAAGTATTTTATCAATACTAACTGAAATAGTGAATATTATTTACATTGACAGACTCTGAAATATTAACTTATTTTAAACCTTTATTCTTAATGACTTAATTCTTAATTATAGGATATGTTTATTTATAGCCCTTATAAATTTCTTTTCAGTTACTTTGGCAATTTGCACATATAACTCAAAAATAATTTTCAAGTAGAGTAAAAAAATATACATACAAATAGAAGTAAATATGGAAGCACATGTTATTTGTCTAGGATTTTGCTGACTACTGAAGTAGATGAAAATATAGGTGGGATATTTGTCTTGTGGATGTCATTTTCATGGTTTGTACTTAATGAAACTAGCAAATAAAAACTACTAATTTACAGGAGACAGGTGGTTGAAAAAACATTTAGAAGAGGAAAGAAATGAACAAATATTTTTATACTTTCAAATTTTTTTCATGCAGAAACTTAATGTTGATGCACTACTGCTTCATCATTCAAATCCATTTCTTTCCTTTTTATATTATATGTTGAAAGACTATGAAATCAGGTAGGCCATATCTGAAAGAAAAGAGCGGGGAACCATCTTCTCTGGAATATATGTTAAAAAAAAAATAAGGAGCATAAATAAGATTAAGAAGCTACAATTGAATGTGTTTTTAGTGTTATTTTTGGTTTTGCCAAAATGGTGTGGATTTTAATGTTATATAGGAGCTTGTGCCCAGGAAAGTTTTTTTTAAAAAAAAATATTAAAACCTTAAAATAAAATATATACAAAAATGTAGTATGCAATTCAGTCATTTTTCAGTCTTATTCAATATTTTTCTGTGTTGGCACAAGTCTTTGATAAGATTTGTGGATTGCTTCTATTGGGGCAGCATTAAATTATAAAATCATAGATATGTACAGAATGTGGTAGAAATACCCCTCACATAATGGTGAAGATATTAGCTAAATGAAGACACCATTACTACTAATGTCTTACCATTATGTGGAAGGTATTTTTTCCACACACTGTACTTGACAACACTCAAAACTAGCACATGCAACATGTATCTGAATAAGATGAGTCCAATTATTAGTTCTTCACATTCCTTTCCAAATATGTATTATCATTTGATTAGCATATCTTGGTAGCATTTGTGTACTTAGTTAATAAAAATACTGTCATCTTATATGGCTTCCTGTAAAGGAGAAATACTTTGTAAATTCTAAGAAAAGATCTGTGAAAACTTTAGATATGACATTTATTTATTATTTATTTATTTTCAGGCAATACAAGTGATATTCAAGAGGCAATTTCTGAAGTTGCTTCAAGTCATTCTGTTGGTTCTTTGGAAAATGATAATGACAATTTTTCTGACATGATTTCTGCTAATGTCAGTGGCCGTGGTACACCCAATGTTAGTGGACGTGATACTCCTCTGTCACAAGCTGAAAGTGTTGAGGAAAGAAGAGCACCAGATCTACCAGAGACAGTCCAAAAGCAAAATCGGGAAGATGTCACTGAGAGATTTGGAAAATTTGAAATTAAAGCAGAGTTAGAAAGTAGGTTCCTTCTCTGGCCTTTGCTTAATTGTTTATACAATTAAAATGCATGGTTATAATTTTCACTATAAACTGATTTAATTCAATCTTTTAAATTTTTATTTGATATATTTAAATGAGCTATAGTTATTTTACTTAAATGACCTGGTAGAATGTGACAGGATTTTAATTATTTTATAATTCAGTAAGTTTATTTTAAATATGACCAAAAATAAAATTCTTTTATATTGCTTGCAGAATAAAATGACAAAACTGCAATTTTTAAGTGATTTTGTTCATTAGTGTTAAAGATAATGAAATATAGTTTTCCAAGGATTCTAGTGTAATATTTTAATTTCTTACAATAGCTATTGAAGTAATATTTTCTGTAATTTCTTAGATCAGGTGATTGAGAAAGATTTAGTCAGTAATGTTGACATGCCTCTTGAGGAAAAGGGATCAGAGTTCAGGTCTTGCTGGAGGCTTATATTCTTAGTTGCTGAATAGATAGTGGGATGTTTATTTTATGTTGACATTGCTTATCTTGAGCTTAAGACCACTGTTTATTAATTTTGCATGTTTTGACTCTTTAACTTTTTATTTCATATTGAATGCCTACTCAGTTCCTGTATTAGACATCTAAAGAGCATTTTATTTCTGATCTGTGTTACTAACAGTTACAGAATCTGGTTTGAAAGTCAATATAAGAAACTGAAATTAAGATGAAAAAGTTATTAAGTTACAAGTGTTTTGAAATTTTAGAATAACAAAATTCATTCATACTGCAGAGGATGAAACCAAATCGACTGTCAGTGATACATGGAGTACAGATGTATTGGCCAGTGATTCTGAAGGCCCTGATCAGAATCAGTTAGAAAGATTAGAAGAAGTCACAGAAGAAATGGTACGACAGAATTTACTGGGAGTTACTGAAGTAAGTTATTCAACTTACAATAGTATTATTTACCATAATGTATTATTGTCTTTCATACATTTAGATATTTACCTTTTTTTAATCAAATTTTAATTTAAGTTTAAATTAACTTTCAAAAATGTATAATGCCATTATTTAAATGTTTATGTATCCAGTAACTGAAACAAGTGTGAACATATTTTTATGATATTGTTGTTGTTTTTTTGTTTTTTTTTTTATTTAATTTTTAGTTTTTCTATTATTTTTATTTTAAATTATACTACAATAACATCAGTATTACAAAAATAATTGTACCAAATAACAGAAACTACATCTTGGGAACTTGCAACTGCTAAAATGGATATCCCATTTAACTCAGGAGAAAATAAAGACATAATCAAGACATTGACCTTCCACAATATTTTAAATCAAAAGTTAGGAAGGAAACCCCCATCAATAATGGAAAGAGTGATAACAGCTCTTGGACTTGAGAAACCTATTTTCTTAAAAAACATTTTTAAGACAAAGATTTTATAAATTTCAACCGACAATAGTACTAGCTGCTTGGTTAATAAATGCTGAATGTTCTATATAACAGCTAATATTATAATTACTGTGTAAGTGGTTTTCACGGATTTCTATATTTTGAGTGTTTGCTATTTCTCACATTGTGCAATATTGATTAATTTCAAGTAATTTCTTGATCTGAATGCTATCTGCTCAAACTAATCTGGCAGTAGAGCATTGTTCCAAAAAATCTCCAGCATTAAATTTCGTAAACTACTTTCTTATGTTTAATCATTTGCTTTATCATCAATATACACATACACTACCACATTTCCTATTTTGTGTTTGCATTGCATTTTCACCTTTCTGAAAAAAAAAAAAGAAATGTATAAGATGCTGGAAGTGCAGCCGATTCTTTTCTATCTTCAATGTTAAAATTAATAAACAAAAATGTACCAATTTTGACAAAAGACATGCTGATATTCAAAAATGACAGTTTTAAATAAGTTAAAACACTACTAAAGCCTACTGACAAAAAGAACAAACTTAGTCATCTAATATTTACAGTAAATCTTTAAAAATAAAAAATACAGACACAACTTTGTAATCTTTCTATACCAATATCCTTTGTTGCATAAGACATGAAGATTTAAATTTTCTTTTGTCTAATTTACAGCCGGTATCTGAAGTATCTGAAACTGCTAGTGATGCATGGAGCACTGATGTGTTAGCAAGTGACACAGAAGAAAAACAGGCAGAACTTTTGCAGGAGATTGATCAAGTAAATATGTGATATAGTTTTAATCTTTTCAAAGATCATTATATAATCACTTATCAACTTAAAATTGAATTAAAGGTATTTTTTTTTTTTTTTTTAAATTATGAACTATCATCATTAATATATTTGTAAGATTAAAATTTACTTACTTTATTTTACATTTTAAGATGAAAGAAATTAAAAAGCTTATTGCATATGTCATTGACTAGAGACAATATTTTTTATAAAAAATAAAAACAATAACTGAAAATTTTAATTTTAACATTTTTGTTACATATTCATTAATATAAAACCTATTACAAAATTAGTAGAAATGTTAGTTTATAAATCATTTTAGTTTATAAAGTGAATTTCATAAAGTGATATCAAATTTTCATTGTTTCATATTCAATGATTTCATGGCAAAGAGTAGCGCTTTCTATCATTGAAAGGTGTAATTTTTTTTTCTTCCCTAAACAATGCCAAAGTGAAGAAAAAAAATTTTTCTCAGTTACTTGATAACTTTTGATTTGGAATATCATTCCATTAATCTATTAACTGTGGCATAAACTTATTAAAAGTTTAGTCATAGGATTTCAATAATGGAAATACCTGCCAGCTCCAGTTAATGAATTAATAGACTGTAGTTAGTAGTTATAGGCATTCATTTATCTTGCGAGATAATGGTAATGTCCTATTTGGTCAAAATTCAGTGCTTTTGTAAGCAGTGTCTAACAGTCCAATAATTGTAGTCTCTTTCGCAGATGTGACACAACTGGAATGTCGAATGAAGTGTTAGTTTTGTTTTTTCCCATCTTTGATGACACCTCCTTGAAAAGCATGGTGCCAACTGCTGCAATTATCTGATATCTTTTCCCAGCTACCTGAGTTGATGCCTGTGAGTTTCAGGTCTCTCTTGCAAACATCCTTGAAATCTCATGTCCCATGACCATTTTACCATACATGATGTCTGTTGGTATACAGGCGTCATTTATTCAATGTACATTATCCAGTCATTGAAGGTGACATTGACAGATGTTTGCTCCATGAGTTTGCTTGTACAGTCGTGTTGGTAACTTTGTTTCTCCATGTGATTCTGAAGATATGTCATAGGCAGCAGGTGGTTTTTCTGCTTGGTGTCTGTCATCTACGTTTTGTTGCCGTAAAGCAGAGTAGTAAGGATACATACCTGGAATACTTTTAGTGCCCAAGATCAGCTGGCTGTCATCCCATACTCTCTTGCTCAATTTGGCCATCACTGTTACTGCTTTGGCAATGTGGTTGTCAATTTACATCTATGTGAAGTGATCTGTGACTTCAAGCAGCAGGTCATTTTTGCTGATTGATGGAGATGTAAAAACAACTTGTGTGTGTGTTTTTTTTTTTTTTTTTTTTGTTTTTTTTTTGTTTTTTAATGCTAATAGTCATCCCAAATTCCTTAGAGGCATTGTTGAACTGACTAATTAATCAGTTGTTGGAGGTCATGTTTGGTGTGTGTGGTCGGAACTGAGCTGAATTCTTCATCCTTTTTCCTTTGTGCTGTTTGTTTGGTGAATGGTTATCAATCTGCTTGTTAAGCTAGAGGCTATAAGCTCCAGGCACCAACTGAAGCAGGCAGACTGTAGCAATTCAACACCCTACTGACTGAGAGCTGCATTGGCTGATGTGGGCAGTTGACCAGTGGTAATCCCTCTCACCATTGAAAACAAACTGTGGTGTCTAACTCTGTACCAGTTGAGCATGAACTTATAACCTGTAAAATGCTGTTTCTCATCTTGTGCTCTCACTGGGTAGGGAGACTGGAGTAACCTCCGAGGTGCAGGCCTGGGTAATGGTATATGGAGACTACGTGGCTCCCCTCTTGGCCATCCTAACAAGATCCAAAGGAATACAGGGTATTATATTTGGGGCCAGCTTAGCTATAGGAGTTGCCGGAAGGTTTGTCAACTGACAATCAACTACTTTTGGGGCTCCACTCTGGATTTTCTGTTTGGATTTACTACCATTGCCTTAACAGTGAAGGTTTAAAATCATGGTTTTCCTTCTCAAGCTGATGAACTCCATCTATTTGAAGCAGCTGTTTATGAGGCTTCTTTGCACCTTTCTCTGGTTTGTAGCTGGATATACTTATCAGAGTATTTAAGATGTATGCCATGAGAGAATTTTATAGACAGTGGGAGCTTGTCCTCACTATCACCCCTGGGTATGACAACCTTTACATTACATACATTGTGTTTTAGAAGCTTCCCCAAAAAATTAATGTTTTTTTTCTCTAAACATATGAAAGCAAGACAGATTACAAAAGAGTCATGCATAAATAATCATAAAGATAAAAAAGTTTGATAAGTGTGGAAAAAGGTAGCAGAAAGAAAAATAAAAATATAATTGAGGATTTAAGCCTAAAATATTTGGAGATAATGAAGTCATTATTTATGACATTAAAAATAATCTATACTACCTTTTTGACAGTACTAACACCTAAACTATCAATTGATAAAAAAAAATAAAGGAATAGAAAAGGTAAAGTTGGTAAATATAGCTTCAGGTAATCAAAAACAGAAATAAAAATAAGACAAATGATCACGAGGATTATTGAACTAATAGAGAAAAAAAATCTAGTAACTGTGGAAAAAGTTGAAATTTTTACCCTTCAAATGATGAAAAGCATGTCAATAACATGAAATAGGTGAGTAGAAGCATCTTAAACCCATACCTTTTTGAAAAACAGCCTTAATCATCTCCACTTCAGCAGGTTTCACATTGCTTTTCCTTTGCATTTTGGAAAAATCTGTTTTAAAACATATCATAAGGCCCCAGAAAATTGATTATCTGTTATGCATATCCACCCACATCTTATTTTTTTTTTTTTTTTTTCCCACTGTTATGCTGTTTTCTGTCTGAACTTCTGGGATGAGGTGTTATTATTTGCACTAAATTCAGACTATTGTCTTCATCTTTGTTGTTATCATAACTTTACTTCACAACATTTAAATCTGGGGACTGATTTGGCCATTTCAGGATATTTATGTTATTTTCAGCAAGCTATTTCTTTGTGTAGATTTTGCAATGTGATTAGGATCATTATCTTGTTGGAAGATCCAATCATGAAGAAGTTCAAGATTTTCAACCAAAATCATTAAATTTTCTTCCAAAATATTTTGATATGCTGCAGCATTCATTCTACCATCTATTACTGATATATTGCCAGTATCTTTTTCAGAAAAACATCCCTAAACCATGATGCTGCCACCACTAAATTTCACTGTTGGAACTGTGTTCTTTTGTTTGAAGGCATTGTCATCTTTGCTCCATACATGATTTCTAGAATTATGTCCAAACAACTCCATTTTGGTTTTGTCTGCCCATAATACTATTTCCTAATACAACTTTTCCTAATCCTTATGTTCATGAATGAATTTCAACCTGTCATCTGTCTCTTTTCAATTGCAGTGGAGTTTTCTGAGGTGGGGGGTGTGATTTTAGATTGTTTCTATGAATTTAATTGCTTATTGTCCATTTAGTGACACTGATTCCTGATGAAAGCAAATCATCCTGCAACTCTTATAACCATTGGGTTTTGTTTAATTTGACACATTAATTTCCTCAAAGATATTGCAGAAATCTTCCATAGAGTACTTGTTCTTCTTTGGTTTTCAGCAGTTTTGAGTTTTTTTATACCTTACAATGAATGAACTAATGGCCGTAAATGGAATATTCGGGTTGTCTGAGATTTTCCTGTAAGTTTTACCTTCTTTCCAGAACTTAACAATCAGTTCTTTTTGTGAATTTATCAGTTTTTTACCTCTTGCCTTGATGAAAACTTTCTTGCACTAGTATCAATTACAGAATATTCTGTTTGTAATTTTTAGGCTAAAAATAACTACTGATAACATTATTGAAACATTCTAGAATATTCCACTTGAATAATCTTGAATATTAAGGCAATCCTGAAAATCGGCAAATAGGAAATTTGCATTGTAGGGTAACCATTAAAATAGATAAAACGGATTTTGGAAATTAAATAATTTTTTTATAACATCAACAAAAATATTTACCACCATTTGCGGCTGAAATGTAAAGTTAATGATTTGAAATTTAATGTTTAAGACTAGCTGCATAATACAATGGGTAAAAATTATTTTTGGGAATTTTTATCCCATGAGTGTTCATAGTTTATATAAACAATTTGAAGCAATATCGAATCTGGCAGTTCCTACGTGAAACCATTTTCGGCATTCCCAGACCCCTTTAACACGGATGATCACAAACAGGGCAATGGATAATGTCGATTGTTAATCGTTGGAGCATCCCTAATTGAAGGGGGACCAGCATATTCGATCATCCGCGCAAATGCTCTTACAGGTTTGAGTATGAAAACAACGGTAAAGGACAAGAGGATAGATAATTAATGGAATCACTGCCCTTAGGTCTAACTTATTAGACAACCCCTTCGATCCAAGTCTCGAAAACGCCACTTTTGCCTCTACTTCGTTAATTTTTTCTTCAGCTGGAAATCGGGTCCAACATGTACGAGAATGCGCACCACCGGTCATGCAACAAAAAGGTTCCCAGTGACGGACATCTTCCATAAACCTAACTGTAATTGCCGAAAATACTTAAATTGTAAATTTCCAGTGCTTTATTTTATCGTATTTTCAATGTTCTGCGGGAAATGGGTTTAGATATGGATGTCGGCATCATCCTTTTTTCAATTCCTCTGAGGTCCGGACTGCACGCCCTGAGTTCGCCATGAAAGAATTTACTAACGACAATGCCTAAAATAGCGGGCAGTGTATGAATCTGATGAACTGTGGACAGCGTAAAAACGCAACCATTTCGCTGGACATTTTACCACAGCAGTGGGCTGCGATGCAGAAAGAAATCCATCGGCAAGAATATGTTTTCTGTCTAGTGGTCTGCAGGAAGGCAAAAAAACAGATGTTCGACCCAATCAAATGTCTTGACTAATCAAATTTTTAAAGTCTTGATTTGGTGAATAAGAATAAACTATAGGTCGTAGGAAT